TCTGCTGTTTTCCTCAGAATAAATTCTTAAACCTGATATTCAAAGAAACCCATTGGTTGCCTTGTTCTTTCATACAACTACTGGTGCTCATGTACATACTTTTCTCTTCATCGTGGGCATCAAATGCAGGGGAGGAAGGGGCAACCAGATCGCTACCCAAACCAAGAGCACAGCAAGTAAAATTCACTTTGCTTCACATTTCTTAATGCAAAACAGTAGTCAGTGTCTTGGAGATAGCACCACCACATTTTAACTGAGTGTGCTGGGTCTGTACAGCTAGACTCCCAGTGTCTGAAAGGTACGGCTGATCTGAGATCACTACACTGGGTCTATCACTGGAGTTGTGAACTCACCGTTGCTCTTCCAGTGCCAAGTCAGCATAGCATGCACTGCTCACTAGGTACCTTCTACTGCATTAAGTGGCTGGTCTGTAGTGGACTTTCTGTAGGAAAAACCACATATGACCAGAGCCATCTTGAGGAGCACAGGTATAAGTAGGAGCCACCAACCTGTCCAGAGCTCCCCAGAGTCCTGGTTGGTACCTTTCACTCTATGCAGGGATCATAATTTAGCACCCTCTGAACAACTGGTGCAGATCAATTCAGAGATGATAAAACAACTCAAAACAAACCTAGAATTTCTGAAGTTTAATAAAAGGCTTGCTTAAAAAGTCATTTAAATCTGTGGTCTCCCAGCTCTTGTGGCTGCTGCATTTCCTGGGTCTAGCCAGGATTGGACATGCCTAAATAACTGTGCAAAAGTCAGGATCTGTGCTATCTGCTGTCCATGGGAAGAGGAAGTCCATATAATCTCTGGTCCAGGCATGTCGTGAAACAAATCCCTAAACGCAGTGCTATTCCATACTGCGCTAATGATAATAAAGCTGATACGGCAGCAGGAGATTACTGTAGTCAGAGTAGGTATTCAAGACAAAGACTTCACGACTGTGCGCCTAAATACAAAACCTGCCCAAGGCATCTTACAAGGACTGGTTGCCACATACCTTGGCTGGGAGCACATCTTTGGTTCAGTTCTGGCCAAACCAGTGCAGTTTGCAGCATAGGAAAAGAAGCAAAAAACCACAATGCAGTTGCATCAGTGCTTCATATCGGAAAAACCACCCAGCATCCACTGGTTAGGGGCCTCAGAAGGCACAGGACAGATCACCACCCTGACTGCTGCTTACTTCTTAAGAGACTCTGACAAAATGGTGCTCAGCAGAGGCAGGAAAATCAGATCTAAGTTGCTGCCTCAAACAGAAGCACTTAACATTTCTTAATGGCAAACACTGGACAACTGTATAACCAAGTACTGAGCACAATCATCAGAAATTATTTTTTTTCCTCTGATGCCACTGAACTGCACTGCGGTGGTGGCAGAAAAGGCTGTTTTTGGAGCAAAATGTTCAAATTCAGCTCTGCACAAGAAGCACTTCTTGTCAAAAAAAAAAATGTTGCAGCAAGGCAATAAGAATAAGTGGCTGCATCTCTATTTTACCAGTGCAAAGAACTGAGTAGCTGTAACAGATTATCTTGCTTTTATACCCCTCCAGTGAGAAAACAGCCCTAGGCGTACCAGCATAGATAAGATACAAATATGGGCTCTTGCACATACACTCCTTCCTCCTTGGGAAACATGCAATTGGCTCAGCACTATTGCCAGCACCCAGGAAGGATGATTCAATTCCCAGGTATTACCCTATTCCCAATTTCCAGCTGTAAACCCATTGTGTTGGGTATCTCAGACAACACCACAGATTGACATCCCGCTCAGACACAGGGCATTTCTTAACAAAACTGCAAGCTACCCTTTAAAAAAGAAAAAGCTTTTGGTTGCATTCTCAGTTGCAGATCATTTTTAGCCTCAGTTATTAGTGTGTTTGATTTCCAGTGGCTTATCTAATGATCGGTTCTACTCTGCACAAGTATCTGTGATACTATGGCTTCATTGTGGCAGAGACAGAACAGGTAGCTGTCTCTGGGGATGGTGTTTCAGGGTGCACTAGAAGTACTACCATAAATGCAGAGTGGAAGATGGAGGAGGAGAAAATGGAAACTCCTGTATGTTAACTGCTCATAATGTCTTGAGTCTTTACATTTAAGTTTTTTGAGCTTTCCTTTTTTCAATTCAGGCCTAAGCTGAAGCGGCAGATACAGACTGACTGCTAGAGGCCCTTTCTCCTGTAGGATACAGAAACTGGCACCTACAAAACATGGGGAAGCAGGTTCCCTGAGGGGGATCCTTGGCCTATTCCCCCCCCCCCACCATCCCGTACACCACCCTTACAGAACATTTTGTGCATCAGCTCTCCATTGAGGTGGGGTAGAAGTGGGAGACTGGGGACAGGACAGGACAGGACAGGAAGATGGATACTGGCTGGGCAGAGGATTCAGATTTCTCTAGGGTTGTGACAGCTCACTTAGTGATCATGCCTGTAATGTTTCCTGTTAGTTTACTCAACATCCTTCCTTCTCTGGCTGCACTGACATAGGCCTAGGAAACCCCGTTTTGAAGGGTTGAGCACTCACAGCTCGTATTACCATGTGGAAGGAAGGGGAAGAAAAAATGGTTTGACTGGGTTCTAACAGGGGATTGGACAAATCCAGAGAGGATAGGTCCATCAGTGCATATTAAACATGATAGCTGTGAGTGCTCAACCCTTCAAAACAGGGTTTCCTAGGCCTATGAATGCTGGAAGCAGTAGATGGATCAGACTAGATGGGCTGTGCTTAAATCTTTTCTCTTCACATCCACTCTGTCACTATGAAACAAGATGCTGAGCTGTGGTCTGACCCAGCAGAGCACCTCTTTTGCTCTTACAAGAGTCAAAAAAAATTTTAATAACATTTTAACCAGATGGGAAAGGCCAAGGGACTTTACATGTGGCACAGAGGTGCTTCAAGAGCTGCTTTTTTTTTTTTTTTTTTTTAAAACAGGTCAAGCTGCTACAATGCTTTTCTTCTTCCTTGCATGTTACTATAAAAAACTACTTTCAAAACTGGCATAAGGTGTCACTTCTCTGGGAAAATGTCTTAGTAGTCCCAGTACAATATGCTTCCAACATGGATACTGAATCAAATCAAAACTTTATTTATGCATGTGTTCACTTTCTACGAGGGCTTGAAAAAAAAGATGGTTTAAAAAATAAAAACTACCTTGAACAGCCAGAAACCTTGCTATGGTTACCTGGCACAACCGGTACCACATTTTAAAAGTGATATTGATGACAATGCCCTGCTTTCAAGAGACAAGTCTGGCACTCATCACCACCAATACTATTTATCACACTACATGAGCTGACTGGGAAAGGGTGTCAGATCTTAGAGGTAACACAGAGGGGAATTCCTCCTAGGCCTAGTGCCCAGAGCACACAGCTAATGATTTAAAATTAAGTCACGTACGGTTACCAGCAAGTATGCATGCTGCATGTCTTGCGTGTTCTGTCCCCAGCAGGCAAACCCAAATGTGAACCAAGAGAATAAAATATGCTCATCCACAAGGATGACAGTTTTACATATATGCCCTTTTCTAGGGGGTGAACAAGGATAGGGGGTGGAATGTGATCCTGATGTGGCTTTGGATAGTTCAATAAGGAGCATTTCTCCACTGTGCTTAAAATTACTTTTGAAATTCATTTGAGAATTCCTAGTAATTTTAAAACCAAATGAAAGGCACAGGAGATACTTCAAGAGGCTTTGCTGGCAGGAACTGTATCTCAAGGACACATGTGGCATGGGCAAGAGCAGTACACGCTTCCCTAGCCAATGTGCTTCAACTAGGAAGGCACAGGGTCATCTCTGTGAAGGCAATTTACCCTCTGTGCTCTACTGGGGCTAAGACAGAGCAAACATATCAGTTGCACCGTGGGTGCTGGGAACTGGACTCCTTTTACAGTGATGTTCAGTCACCTGGACTGAATCTGAATCAAAATAACTAGAGTGTGAAAAGTCCATGACCCTTTTGCCTCCCATTGCCCTCCCTCAGCACCATCCATTTGCGACATGAGATTGCTGTGTGCCCGCCTGTCTCATTCTTAGCCCTGCCTCTTGGTTTTGCTGTTGGGGAAATAGCATTTGTACAGAACAGAACAGAACAGAGCTTCTTCCCAAGAGAGGGACCCACCACATCCTGAGGCTACCTTGAGTGGTGAAGTTGAAGAGTGCAGGTTTCTCTCGCCCATTTGGTAACTTGACATTTGGGTCCCGTAGTTCATCAAAGAAAGAGTGTGCACACGCTTCCAGGGGAGTCAGGCGGGCAGTAGGGGTATATTCCAACAGGCGGCTACATAGCGCGATTGCTTCTGGTGGAGTGCGGGGTCGGAAGACCTGAAGGAAAAAGCAAGAGACACCGATTGTGTGGGCTGGTTTCTTTTTGTTACCAACTGGCAGCAAGTCTGAGCGATTAAACCTCTCAGTGCCCAAGGAATTGGAATGGCTTTTTTGTGCTAACATACTAGGTCTTCCAGCATGTTGGGATGGAAGAATCCAGCTCCTGGGGTTGAAAGGTTTAATTGCAAAGTCTTGTGCTGTGCTGAGGTGAAGGTGCAATGCCAGTGACAGACAGCACAAGAGCGTGCTCAAGTAAAACAACTCTCGGAATGGAGGGAAAACTCACTGGAATTAAGACAAACACACAGTGCTGCAATCAGCCATGCATATGGTGGGGGGAGGAGGTGCAAATGAGCAGGATTCGCTGAATATAAGACAGTCTCCCCTGTATTTTTGGCAGAAAAAGTACCACCTCCCTCACGTGGATTTTTTGTTTTGCTGGAAGGTAGGTCAGATTGTTGCTATGGAGGATGCTGTTCAAGACTGGACATCAATAGGGTGAGCATAAGAAACCTCTGGATCAAGTTGCAAGGTGCTTTTTCTTCTTGCCCTTACGCTGGTCAGCTTCTCCACTGTGTCCTATCAACTAACTCCTGCACATCTGGAAGTCGTGAGAATGGCTGAAAGTGAGCTAGCTAACTGTTTGACTCATGGAAGTTCACCTTGAGAGGTTATAAAGCAGAGACAGTTCACAGCAGCTCCTCCTTGCAGTTGTATTCCAAAGCCCTTGGAGAACAGTGCTACGTGCCCAGAATTGCACACAAAATCTATCTCCCCCCATCTCATTCCATTAAAGGGAAAATTGGTCAGTCACACACATGCCCGTAACACCTTCCTCAGACCCTTTCCTTTCCTTGCGTGGCACGTGAAACACAAACTAGAGAAAAAAGGCAGCAGCAGGGTGGGGGTGACAGAATTCTGATGCCAGCGTTTTTGATGCAACTGAGCTAATCCAAAATGCTTTTGCACCAATGCAGGTGAACTCCAAACCTTGTAGTACCAAGGAGTAAGTAGCCTGTATATTGTATGCTAACAGATGGCAGACTCAGGCACCCATAAGGGCACTGTTTAAGTAGAATTTAAACCAAAGCCTTTTATGCTCACCTGAATGGAAATTAAATGCACCAATGAATTTACTAAAAAGTAATTTGTTGAACCCCTTGGTACCCATCTGGTCAGGAGCACCTGAGTTAGTCCTAATGCATTCTGTACTAACTCGTCATGTCAGGGAATCCTGTCTCATGGAGTCAAAGAGTTAAGGGTCTAAAAGAGCAGATCTGGTTCAGATTGCTGGGAAAGTAGCAAACTATTTATCGTCGACCCTACAGTAATGTAAGGAAAAAAGTTTAATTTAGCACTATTGCCAAGATGCTGCAGCCAGTGCAGACTCAAAGCTTCTGCTGACTTCCATGCCTGAAATGAATGTACGTATTTTTGGGTGGGGAGGTAGCAAGAGATGGTTTGCATTCAGGGTCAAAACCCATTGCCTCCAGAGTTCGGATTACTGATCACAATACAAAGTGGATGCAGTGGTATGAGTTTACAGCCAAACCCAGAATGTGACTTAGGATGTCTTCCCTGCTAAAGGGCTGAGCATTTTGACCTTGTGCAATCTAACATGAGCTACCCCCAAAGTAAAAATGCGATAAAGGCAAGGCACTTTTCCTTCCCCCATAAGGTAAACTTACTGGGGGAGCCTTAGACCCATGACTGGGGTCGATTTTGACAAATTTAGCTCACTGTAAAACTACGTTTAAGTCTTCCCTGCATTTTTCTGGATTCCTCACACATTAGCTGCCACAAGATGAAAAACAGGCAGTTTTGGGTGGGTTTGTTTGTTTGTTTTTAGCAGTGAAGACAAGCCCTCATTTTTTATTAAACGAGACAGAAGACAGAGAGAACCATTTAAATGGTCCTTCACAAAAAGAATCCCTCTACCCCCCTGCCATCTGTCTTAAATTCTTCAAACTGTCAGCTTAGTGAACCTCTGTCAACATCTGTTGGAAGAATTTAAGAAACCACCACTCGGCCTGTCTGGCTTGAAAACCGAGTCACTCAGACTGAGCAATTACTATGATCTCCACTAAATGTGTCAAAGAGAGAAGAAAAAGAAGGAGGGGGAAAAAAAAAAAAAAAAGAAACCCTATACAACCCACGTCCCTTCACCCGCCACCCCCAATAAGTAGTGATTAGGGAGTGAAATGTGGGGTCAGCTTCTAAGCCTGTCTAATCTTTTCACCCTGGCATCACAAAGGGAAAACATTCACCTGGTTACCATCTGACACATGGCCATTTGAATTC